CTGAATGCCATGCCCTCCTGAACCAATGAATTTCTCATTGTTCAAAAGCACTTCATTTATTTATTTATTTATTTTAAATAACACTGCAGCAATTAAAAAAAGACTGTGATTGGAAAACATTCTAATAAAATATGATTGTTTTGAAGTCATTCAATTATGATAATACACAACAGGATCCCTAAGCCCATGTAGCTTATCTCTCTGAGCAAAGGAAGAATCCTTAAGAGGCAGAGCCAATTCAAACACACCTGAGTGCATCCACAGAAAGGATATGAGAGACTTGCCCTGGTCAAAGCAGGGAAGAGTGTGTTGATGAAGGGTTTTGGCTGTGCTGTTTTCTGAAAGTACTTCTAGATACTCTTACTTGCCTTTTTTTAAATTTTTTTTCAACTGGGAACTTTAAAATCTTTTATGCTTCTGAAATTTACAGAGAAGGGCGTTGGTTTTGTGCAGCTTTTCTTTTCATAGGAAGTTTGGAATGTCTTCAGGGAGAGATTTTAACTTGTGTGGTTTCTAAACTTGGTGATTTGGTACCCTGTCTGTTTCCTTAAGGGGCACCTAAGAGGTTTTGCTTTGAGAGAGCAGTCTTGAAGAATACTGATAAATGATACAAGGGTATTCCTTGTACTTCTCTTCCATCCTCTCCACTCCTCCTTCCCAACCACGCATGTGCTGCAGTGATGCTTGGAGCTGCAGAGGCCATGTTAGGGCTGTGTGGTCCAGGACAGCGTTATAGTGGATTGTACCATATTACTGCCTTTCCCCTGAAGAGTGATAGTAAAGGAAATGTTGAGGGATTTTTGTTTCTTTCGCTTTCAACAAGCCATGACAATTTCTGGAGCTATTCATGCAGGCCTTGCATACAGGCACCAGTCTGAATAAGCATGTTGCTGACAAGATAAACTGAACATATAGGCTGTTGGCCATATGCCACAAGTTTTCATTAAATGAGCAGAGTAATTTAAAAAGCCTCTAGAAAAATCTTTCCTTTGTATGTGGAG